CAACATGTTCAAAATAAAGTTTCAAATGGTTGCAAAAATACAAGTAAAGCACAATACACCGACTGAAGTTTCAAAATACATAAAACGAAAGCAAAGAAAAGTGCAACCGACCAGATACAGAAAAAAAATGGCAAGATAAACCGCTTCTGTGCGCGTACCAAACAAGATGATGTAGACAAGCCCAGTACCCAGCACTGGCTACGTAGTGCAGGGTTAAAAGCAGAAACTGAAGGTCATATTGATGCACCCGACCAATGCTTGTAAACTAGAAATTATCAAACACACAGACTAAAATATAGTGTTAGCCCAAACTGCTATAAATATCCAGAGACAATTGATCATCTTGTATCACGTTGCCCGTTATTGGCACTCACTAAATATAAAATCCGGCAATACAGAGTTGGCCAATATCTGCATTGGAAAATCTGCAATTTCTACGGGAAGGAAAATAAAAGAAATCGGTATGAACACCACCTAGACCCAGTTACGGAGATAAGACCTGTTATAATTTTATGGGAATATACAATACACAGAGACAGAACAATTAAAGCTAACCGCCTAGACATTGTTGTTAGAAACCGCCAGCCAAAAAAGTGCTTCTTTATTGTTATGGCAGTCCCTGCTTACTGCAGTGTATCTTTGAAGATCTTCAAAAAGCTATCAAAATACAAGGACCTTGAAATCAAAATCTCAAAATGTGGCACATGGGAACATCAACAATCACTGTTGTAGTTGGAGCCCTAGGATTGGTTGGAAAAGATTCCAATAGACTAATTGAAGGGATTTCTGGAAGTCAATGCCTCAAAGAGATACAAAAAATTATGAGTGGTTTTATCTATGTAAAATATGATTTTTTTTTATTGGTCATTGGAAAATGTCATGATGCCTTTTCTAACATTAGTTCTCCGGAACGAAATGTGTACATATCAAACATGAAAGGAAATAAAATAATAATAATAATAATTATTATTATTATTATTATTATTATTATTATTATATTTTGTCACAAAGATTATGGAGCTATAAATATCTAGGAGTTATCGAATGAGATTAAATGCAGCAGACGCAAAGAAAGGAGAGATTAAGAAAAGAATACTGTTTCTGGTGTAAAATAGCGTGTTGAATTCACAAAACAGAATATCAGCTAGAAGCACATTGGTTGTCTCCGTGTTGCGATACAGTTTCAACATCGAAATTGAACCATAGCTGACATTAAGCAAATGGACGTCAAAACAAGAAAGCTTCTCATTTTCCACCGCATGCATCACCTTAAGGCCAGTGCTGATCGTCTTAAGAAGTGTCTTACAAATCCACATTAGTCAGTCTTCAACGATACCTGAAAACTACAGCAGACTGGACAATGACCCGGTCAAAGAACATGAAAGAAATAAGAATCTTTATTCAGTAATAAAGGAAGCGAACAAATTCAAAAGGGAATTTCAAGTGGATGAAGAAGTGCAAATAAACATAATACACCTACTGAAGCTGCAAAGGACCTAAAAAGAAGAAATGCAATGTACCAAATGCAGAAACGATGGCAAGATAAGCCATTTCATGGTCAATATTCTGCCCGTACTCCAAAAAGATGATGTAGACAAACCCATCAGTGGTAAAGCAAAGGTTCTATTCTTGCTACACAGGACCATTGATTTCAGTGTGGGTGATTGGTAATTTCTAACTAGAAATTACCAATCGACCACACTGAAAAATTTCGTTGACCCCAAATTCAGATTTTGTGATAAATATCCAGATATAACTGGCCATCTTTTATCAGGTTGCACCCACTGAATAAAAAACTCGGCATTACATGGTCGGTCAATATCTGCACTGGAAAATATGCAACATTTACTCCAAGAAACTGGTATGAACATCACTCAGACCCGGATACAGAGATGGGATCTGTAACAATTTTATGGGATTTTACAATATATCTAAACAGAAGAATGAAATCTAATCGCCCGGACATCGTGACGAAAGACTACAAAAACAAAATTTGCTTTCTTATTGATATGGCAGTCCCTGCTGATCTTTGAAGGTCATCAAAAAAATAAAAACTATCAAAATACAAAGATCTTGAAGTAAAAATCTCAAAAATGTTGTACATGAGGATATCAATATTCTCACTTATAGGTGGAGCCTCGGATTGAGTGGAAAATTGTCCGATAGACTATTTGAAGGAATTCCTGGTAGTCCAAGCCTTAAAGAAATATCAGAAATTGTACTCACATTTACAGAAACTCGCATTACAAAAAAGATTTATCGATGTAAAATGTTTGTGATCTAAGTTTATTTTTTTCAAATTATTTTCAAAAATGATCAGTGGAAAATGTCATGAATCCATTTCTGACTTTAGGTCTCTGGTTGAGACCCGGAAGGAAATGTATGTGACGTCGTCCCCCGGTCGCAGCGCCGACTGTGACGTTCTATCCTGATCTACCACGGCGCCAGTTGTGACGTCCCTAAACAACACCAATTGTGACGTCTTCGCCGCGGCGTCAGCTATTCGCTCCTCGCCGTTCCGCCCGGGTGTCGCTGCTCCAAACGTGACGTTCTAACCCTTTGGTGATTCGGGTAGGAATCTGGTTAGATTGATACCAGCCTCGCCGTTCCCAACCTGCTTCCAACGCCTGGTTACCAGGGTAACTGCACTGATCTCCAGTCTGCCTACCCACGTTGTGAATTGATCTTAGACAGACGAGATCAAACAGGGGTTGGCGCCGTAATGCAAGCTGAGTTCAACGGGGGTGATAACACACAATTATGTATAAAAAAAAAAAAAAATGAAAACTCACAAAGTCCAAAGTATCAAAGAAAAAGGTAACAAACTTTTTATGTCTATTTGTTCGGCACATAGGACTATGTCTACTTCCCGACCCGTTCTGTGGATTGTGGCACGACGCTTTCGCTAGGCAAACTTTAACGCTTCAAGTTGTCTGCTTTCTAAGAAATTTGTGTTTCGGTGTGTCTTTGGACGAAAGTCGAAAAACTTATTTCTGTGGTCTGATTCTAAGTCGCTCTTCAAACTACTTGTTCTTGGTCAGCTATCTTGATGCGGTTTCAACACTGGGCACTCATCTCTGCCTTTAGGTGCGCGAACTAACTTCTTCTCGCCAGCTTGGGTCGAACGAACATCTTCACTCAGGGCCAAACGAACTGGCCTCTTCTGCCCGTTAGGGGGCGAACGAACTCTGCCCGCCGTCCGCGGCTCCACTCCGCCTGCCGTCTGCGGCTGAACTCCGCCTGCCGTCCGCGGCTGAACTCTGATTTCTGTCTGGTGGGGCTTCGTTTTTATTGACGCCGTCAAAACTGGGGTGGGTCTATCGGCGCCAGGGGTTCTTCGACAATTCTAAATACGTATCCACCCTTCTTATTTCTGGTTAGGGATTTTCCACTCTTTTCCATTTTTGGTAACTCTTTTCTCACTCCCACTCTCTTACCGTGCTTCTGAGGGGCGTGAACTAACTTCCCCACTTCTTCGTATCGGCTTCTCACACTTACACTCTGGATGGAGGCGTCGACTGATTTTCTTCGTGCGTCACGTGACCGCTCTCGGCCAATGAGGTCCTGGTCGGGTATCTTTCCTCCTCCTTCGTGCGTCACGTGATCCACTTGGCAAATGACGTCTTAGTCGGGTATCTTTCCTCCTCCTTCGTGCGTCATGTGATCCACTTGGTCAATGACATCTTAGTCGGGCGTGAACAACCCGTGGCTTTGTTTTGGGAAAGAAATACCTTGCTTAACTAAAAAAAAAATAATTAAATCGCCCTTATCATGAGCGGCCGAGGTGACAACCTTCGGTTTTAACACGTGGCGTTTGTCAGGCAGTTTATCGCTAATTGGACATGATCTAAGAAAGAAATTTTCTTAGCCTACCTGGCGTCTCTAAAGCAAAAATAAAAATATTTCATTTTCCTTTCGGCCCCTGGGTTGATAACAAAAATCTTTATTATCACAGGGCAAACGTTTATTCTGTCAAAAGAAAAAAAGACAAACTTAGCCAGCGAAAACTTCTTGTGTGGGATTTTAATTCTTTTACACCCAGGGAAGACTGTCTGTGTTTCGTCAATGTTCAACAATGGATTCCTTCTTTTGGTGACATCCATTGATAACAAAATTCCATTTTTCGTGGACAAGCGGAAATCGGTCAACGCTTGTTTGTAGGTGACCTAGATATTTTCGACATCTGATACCTATAAACTATAACCTTTTTTCTCCTCATTTCCGTCTCTTAAGCCGTGTGTGTGTGTTCGCCTATGACCCGTCTCGTATTATTTTTTCTTTCTTTCTTCTTCGTTTTCTCTTTCTTTCTCCCAAATCGCTTGAATGCAAAGAAAGAATTATTATTAAAACCTAAAATATTTTTCGGCCTTAAATAATTATCAAATGGTTGATAAACCGTAAAAAAGCAAATCATATATCTATAAATATTTCTTTCAAATCGTCAGGATGCATAGTGCCACAGTATATACAACATCAATCAAACAAAGTTATAATAATAATAATAATAATAATAATTATTATTATTATTATTGTTGTTGTTGTTGTTTTTATTTCCTTTGATTTCTTAAGTGTACACATTTCTTTTCCGGTCCCGCCCAGAGACCTAAGGTTAGAAATGGCATCACGACACGTTCCACCGACAAAAAATATATTTTACATAGACAAAGCGCTTCGTAAAGTGTGTGATGTACTTGTGAGAATAATTTTTTTTGTATTTCTTTGAGTCATGGACTTCCAGGAATCCCTTCAATTACTCTACTGGAATCTTTTCCAACCAATCCGAGGGCTCCAAATACGACAGTGATTGTTGGTGTTCCCATGTGCCATATCATTGCTATTGTTATATAATATTAAATAATAATACTTAGCCCAATAAATCTGTTTTGCAAACATCATTTATTAATAAATGTATTTATAAGTAAGGCTGTACAAATGAAAAGATTTGAAATTGAAAACTTGTTTCCATTTCACTAAAATCACTGGAGGAAATAAGATCGTACTTAACGTCGTCTGGCCAAAACATTACTGAATTCTATAAATATTTTAATATTTAAAAAATAAATTATTTACCTCAATTCCACTTAAAAGAAATAATTTTAAAAGCTAAGATGACATTCTTTTTATGTGTTCCATGCATGAAAACACACTGATATGGTTTAGTAAATAAAATGTTCATGATATAGTTTCTGCTAATTTATGAATGCGTTTTGAGAAGGCTTGGATAAATTCTTTGTGTACATCCACAATGAATTAACTAGACTTTTTCGACAAATAATTTGCTTACATTTGACAATATTTTAAATTTGAATTACCCCTAAATAATACAAAGGATATATTTATTAAAATATAGTTATAAAAATACGTAAGCAATTTCAATGTTAAAATTTTTGTTGCAAACACAACTTCTTAGTGATATACAAGTTGAGTCAAAAGTTGCGAACCATTGGGGTTAACGGATAGTTCGAAGTATTCCTCTTGAGTGACCACAGAGGTTCCCAGAACTCAAAACCTTGGATATTTTTTGTGGGGTCAATTTGCAATCAGTTGCTTATCAGACGTGCACAAGAACTATTGAGGAACTTAAAGAAAGAATTAAATATGAATAAAGTAAAACGTTAGAGAAAACTCTCCGACGTGTTAATTAATGGTGCCAGCATAGAACTGAAACTATTTGGAATAAGAAGGAGGCCATTTTGAACAGCACATATAAGAATTAAATAACTAGTAAAGAAAATGATCAGGTGCAATTATACTTTTAACGAATTATCCCTATGGAGCCCGATTTTTACTTCACACTGTATATATATAATTAAAAAAAACTGATAGTAAATAGTCATCAAAACTATATTTCTTCTGATGATTTACGGAAGCACACACAGGCAAAAAAAAATAGTTTTATGAGAATTTAGAATAGATTATTGTTAATTATTATTATTATTATTATTATTATTATTATTATTATTACCTAAAGTCTGCGGAAAGACCTAAGGCAGGTCGTGGTGTGTTGTTATGGCCACATTTCATGTTAATTTTTTTTTTTTTTTTTTTTTTTTTTTTTCCGATTTTAGCGTTACATAGACAAAGTTCTCCTTAGTGTGTGTGCTGTACTTAATAAGAAATTTTCTGTATATTTTCAATGTGTTGTTTTGTTCCATTTTTTATAAATTGCACCCTATTACCACTGGTATTATTCTTGTTTTCAACCCAAATTTATAGGTCTTTTATTTTGATAGTTTTTCAAATTCCTTGGTTGCTATAAAACTTATCAATTAGTACCAAAATCAATTTTTCTGTCTGTGTGGATATTTCTATTTCTGTAACCGGCGCTGGCCGATGTTCATACCAGTGTTTGCTTACACATTTTTTCCAAAGTGTTTGCACATTGTCCAGTGTAAAACTATGGACGATTTTTATATTCATTTGGGGATTAAAAATTATTATATTTTAGGTTTGAAAACTCAACCCAAAAATATATTTTAGGCTTGAAAACTCGACCCAAAATATATTTTACTTGAAAACTCGACCCAAAATATATTTTAGGCTTGAAAACTGGACGCAAAAATATATTTTAGGTTTGGAAACTCGACCCAAAAATATATTTTAGGCTTGAAAACTCGACCCAAAAATATATTTTAGGTTTGGAAACTCGACCCAAAAATATATTTTAGCCTTGAAAACTCGACTTAAAAATATATTTTAGCCTTGAAAACTCAACCCAAAATATATTTTAGGCTTGATAATTCGTCTAAAAAATATTTTTTAGACTTGAAAATTTGACGCAAAAATATATTTGAGGTTTGAAAACTCAACCCAAAAATACATTTTGGGCTTGAAAATTCGACTAGGACCCAGCTATTTACGTTATTTAACGAGGAATTCTTTGCTGTAAGTTGAATTAAAGAACGAGTGTCAGTAACTGGTAGCTTTAGGAGTTAAGTTCTATGCTTTAAGAGAGAATTAAAACCTATTCGAATGTATCAATTTTAAAGTGTCATAGTTGCAGGCATTCACCTTCATCAGTGTCCTGGGTATGATGATAAACTACATCCGGCATCTAGGTCACTGGTCGGGAGATTTGATGTTTGAAGGAGCGTGGAAACACATCTTAATTGCTGTCGTTTCCAGATGATAGTGCCTGTTAGGGTCGCAGCTATCGGCAAATAGTTAACCTTCCTAAACAAAAATAAAAAAAATATGAAATTATAAATATGTATTTTTATATAAAATAATTACCAAAATTACCTACTTGTAGTAAAATGACCAACAATACGTATTTATAGTAAAATGTTCAGTAATACATATTATAATCAAATGACCAACAGTACATGTTTATAGTAAAATGACCAACAATAGATATTATAATAAAATGAGCAACAATATATATTTATAGTAAAATGAACAACTATACATATGATCAAATGACCAATAATACATATTTATAGAAAAATGACCAACAATATATATTTATAGTAAAATGACCAACAATACATATTATTATAAAATGACCAACAATACATATTTTTAGTAAAATGACCAACAATACATATTATTATAAAATGACCAATAATACATATTTATAGTAAAATGACCAACAATACATATTATTATAAAATGACCAACAATACATATTTTTAGTAAAATGACCAACAATGTATATTAAATCAAATGACCAACAATGCATATTATAATCAAATGAGCAACAATACATATTTACAGTAAAATGAACAACAATATATATTTATAGTCAAATGACCAACAATACATATTTATATTAAAATGACCAATAATACATATTTATAGTAAAATGACCATCAATACATATTTATATTAAAATGACCAACAATAACTATTTAGAGTAAAATGACCAACAATACACATTATGATAAAATGACCAACAATATATATTTATATTAAAATGACCAACAATACATATTTACAGTAAGATGACCATCAATACATATTTATAGTAAAATGACAAAGATATATATTTACAGTAACATGGCCAAAGGTACATTTTTATTTGTTTGGAGACATAATGGTGTTCAAAATATTTAGATTTCAGCATTAGAAAACCCATAGAGGTCGATATACTGTTAAACAAAATCAACCAAAAAAAACAACATGAAATAACTTTTTGATGTCATTAATCCATATAGTATCCGAAAATGTTGTAAATCCAACTATATTCCAAAACTTTAACAAAACTACAACATAAAACATGCATTTCATTGCCTCTAATAATTATATATATATATATATATATATATATACAAACATGTATATAAACAAAAGCTGAGTATCATCTACCATATATTCAACTGTGAAAGCAGAATGACATATATCATGGTTTTATTACTTCGAAGCTCCTAAGAAAATAAAATTTCGGCATTAAATGACCCATAAGGCCTAAATAGGTCGTTAAAGAAACAGATAAACAACAAAATGCGATCATGGAACTTATTGTTTCATTGCAAAAATTGGGCAGTTCGTCCCATGCCAGAAATGAAACCAGATCCTTTATTTGAAATCAAGAATAGAGGGTTTATCACACCTTAGTAATTGACACATAAATAGAACACAGGTTGAAAGATAAATTCAAATGGAAAATTAAAAAATTACTATAGCCTCAGCCAGGAGTGGAAAAATCAAGGAAAAGTAAAATATTGGGAAAAGACATTTTTAAAAAAAAATCTAGCAAAGTCGTGACTGGAAGAAAGGGATATTCCATCAAGGATAGGGGAGTTTTTAACCAGATTTTTGCTGTGGTCTGCGAATATATTGATGGAGATTTTTTATACGGACTTCTGACACTCGATAAATCTGGTGAGAACCTTCAAATTTATTAAAGCTTTGATAATGATAATATTACTGTTGAGTGTTTCATTATAAGGAAACATTCTGACCAAGTAGACTGTGTCACTTTTGATTGAAATTTACTAATATTTTTGCATAAAACAATTCCAGTAACTGTTATTGCTCTTTCCAGTACTGACAGCGGCTTTATCTATAACCTTTTTTCAAGAGCGTCAGTATTTGAAGTATGTCCTTATTTCCGCGTCGAGTTCGTGGAAAAATTAGTAAAGAATAATAGATTTAATTAAAAATTAATAAAATGAAATTAATAAGAAAAAATATATGAAAGAAATCTTGCATTGCTTGAAAAATATTATTAGATTCCGCTAAAGAGAGTAGAAATTTGTAATAGTAATATTAGCCGTTTCCTTATAAGAAAATAATCCACATTCATTATCCAAATAGCCAGTACAATTGCCAGTTGAAATTTACAAATCTTTGAAATCAAGTCCATTAGCTGTTATCGCTCTTTCCAATACTGATAGGGTGCTACCTTCGTAACCTTTTAGTTGACTTAGAGTGGAATTTCAAAATCTTGTGTATATCATTGTCTTCTTTTCGAATTAGTCCTGGGTATGATGATACATTTTATAGCAAATTGACCAACATCTACCAGCAAGCGCTCTGATTGGGAGATTTGTCATTTTGAGGAGCGTGGAACCACCTCTTAATAGCTGATCCACTTGAGGTTGTAGCACATGCTAAGGTCCCAGCTATGCGGAAATAGTGTACCCACAACATGAAAACACTAAGAAAGTATTAAAAAAATACATTTTCATTACAAATATACCAGCAATACAATCTCTATCTATAAAAGGCAGGGTGTGTGTGTGTGTGTGTGTGTGTGTGTGTGTGTGTGTGTGTGTGTGTGTGTGTAACGAATGCAGGGCCGCAATTTTGTATGGGTTTGCACCAATATTTACATACACATGATCCAAGTTAGCGGGAAGGCCATGATCGACTTTGCATTTCCCAACTCCCAACGATAGTGGAAATAATCGATTTTTTCATGCTTCTACGGCAGTTTTCATGTAGTTTGCGGCCATTTTGTACTGGCCAGCGTGAGAGCCAACAGCTCACTGACACGAATGTTAACTAGCATGCTAGCATGCAAAAAACATCGATAGCTGCATTCGTCACAAGTGGAAAAAAATTTAAATCTGCATGGCA